CTTCTTTCCTCTGTTTTCTTTTACTTTCATCTTGTCCCACTACCATGCTCAGTCTTCATTTGGGTTTCAGTAATTCCTCTCAGTTACATTGCCCTTGATCAAGCCCTACCAGACCTCTTACACCCTCCTTGCCACTGATTTTGGATCACTTGTTGTTCCCTTGTCCCTGGGTTTGTTAACCACTTTGTTAACCACTTCCATTACCATGCCTACCCCTCTCCCATGTCCCCCTGGAACCACTGGTCCCTATGTTTTCTCCTCCATAATGTTTATCCAGCCTATCTTATCTAGATAGACCTGCAGAGATAATAATATGCACCAAAAACAAGACAGAATAAAACATAGCAACTAAAGAAAACAAAATAACAACAAACCAATGGGAAAAAAGCCTGTATATAGTTCAAAGTTTGTTTGTTGACATTTTTGGAGTGTTTTCCAGTCCAGTCTGATGGGGCGCCACGTCCGAGCCTGAAAATCTATTTTTGGTACTCCCTCAGGACTTCCTTGCTCTGTTCCCCTTGCTGTTCTGTTGCACGCCCACAGAATTTTGCCTCGGTGTGATGGGATCAGATCAGGTGCAATTCCCACACTGTGTCTCCAGTGTTATCCCCTTGTAGGGCTACGGGTCAGTGAGGGATGTCATGTCCCATAGTGGGGCCAGCCATATGGTCTTCTCTGTGCATTGGCTGCTCTGAGCAGGGATAGCATCCTCAAGTCCATGGTATTTTCAATATTGTAGGCCAACAATGTAATGCAGATGCGTAGGTTATTCTTCAGTCTTTCTTATTTATTGTCCAACTTTCACATGCCTGTGAAGCTAATGAAAATATCACAGATCAGAAGAATTTTAAACTTTGGCATTTTTGCTATTCAACACTTCAAAGAGTTTTTGTGTGGCAGATTTGCCCAATGTAGTATGTCATTTGATGTATTGACTATTGGCCCCATGCTCATGAAGTATGGATACAATGAAATCCTTAACAATGTTTATCTTTCATCTGTTTATTAAAATGTTGCCTATTGGCCCAGTTGTGAAGATGTTTGTCTTCTTCACGTTGAGTTGCAATCCATATTGCAGGCTACAGTCCTTGATCTTCATCAGCACGTAATCTGAGTCCTTCTCACTGTCAGCAAGCCAGGTTGTGTCATCTGCATACTGCACGTTCTTAACACGCCCTTCCTCCAATCCTGATCTTGCTTTCTTCTTCCAGCGGTCCAGCTTCTCAGATTATTTCCTTAGCCTATATATTGAGCAAGTGTGATGAGGGGATAGAACGTCGACACACATCCATCCTGCTTTTAAAGCACAGTATTTCCTCGTCTTGTTCAAGTGACTGCATGACACATTCTGCATGAGCACAAGGAAGTGTTCGGGAAGTCCCATTTTTCTCAAAGTTAGTTATGATCCGCACGATCAAAGGCAGTTGCATAGTTAATATATCACAAGTAAACATCTTTCTGGTAGTCTCTGCTTGCTGTTAAGATCCTTCTGATGTAAGCAATGATATCCCTCATGCCACAGCCTCTTTGGGTTCCAGCTTGAATGGCTGGCAGCTCCCTGTTGAGGTCCTGCTGCCATCATTTTTTAAATTATCTTCAAAATTTTACTGGCATTTGATATTAATGATATTGTTCAAAAAGTTCCCATTCTGTTGGGTAACCTTTCTTTGAAGTGGGTAAAAATATGGATCTTTTCTAATTGATTGGCTAGATAGCTGACCTCCAATTTCATGGCATAGACGAATTAGTGCTTCTGGGGCTTCATCAGCATGTTGAAATATTTCAGTTGGTATTCCATTAGACCCTTTTTTTTTCTAATGCCGTCAGTGCAGTACTTCTTCCTTCAGCACCATCGGTTCTTGGTTATATGCTATTTCTTGAAATGGCTGAATGTCCTCCAGTTCTTTTTGATACAGTAACTTTATTCCTTCCATCTTCTTTTGATATTGCCTACATCATTCCGTTCAGACCAAAGAAATATCAATGCATCTAAACGATGGTATTGGTGAAGGATATTGAATGTACCGTGCATGCCCAAAAGGTCAAACAGATCTGTCTTGGAAGAAGTACAACCAGAACGCTCCTAAGGGACAAGAATGGAGAGAGACTTCATCTCACATACTTCAGACATGTTGCCAGAAGAGACCCGTGCCTGGAGAAGGGCCTCATGCTTGGAAGAGTTCAGGGGCAGCCAGGAAGAGAAGGCCCTCCATCAGATGGATGGACACCGTGGCTGCAACAAAGGGCTCAAACAGAAGAACAATTGTGAGGATGGCACAGGATCAAGAGGTGTTTTGTTTTGTTATACTGGGTTAGTCTGGGTACTTTAGAGAAACAAATCCACAGAAACTCATGTGTAAGAGAGAGTTTTATATAAAGGTTAAATGTGCATCAAGAAAACATCCCAACCCAGTGCTGCCCAAGCCCATAAGTCCAACTTTAACCCATATGTCCGACACCAATCCACATAATCCTCCTCCATCTCACAAAACAGATGCAATGATGCTGACTGCAGGAGGAAAGCCGAGTCAGTGAATGTGTAAACATCTCAGCGCTGGCAGGGGTCTCCACACGGCTGCTCCAGCACCCAGGGCTGCATCCGCTAGGTCCATATGGCTTCTCCTCAGGGATGTCTTACAGGAAGTGAGCCTTGCCAGCTAAAGCAGGGAACTGGCTAAGGCAGCCGCACCCTGGTCCGACCCATCACAAAGCAAGAGACCCAACAACTAGAAAGGAGAGGCTCACTGAGTCATTTATCCCTCCGTCCTTCAATCAAGCCCACATGTGTTTATCGGTCAGGTTGGCCCAGTAAACTAACTACTTCATGTACATAGGGTCTCTGTGAATCATAGCCAACTCAGCAGCACCTCACAACAGCAGCACCTCATTCAATAGTTTCCTCATAGATTGCTTCAGTACTTCCACTTGAGACTTGAATATTTCATCAGTTCATTCGGCTTATGCTGAGCATATTCTTCCTCTCATTTCATTAAAATACTCTGTCTTCTCACACTTCCCTTTGAAAGGTGAAATGTTTGGCTCTTTTCCTTCATCGTTTCTTCTATTTGCCTCAGTGGCTGTATGTTCAAGAGCAGCTTTCAGCATCTCTTCTGCCTTCACTTTACTCTTTTGTTTCTTTCTTGTCTTTTTTACGACCTTCTGCTGTCTTCATGTGTGATGTTCTTGATGGCATTTCACAGCTCATCAGTGTTTAGTGCATCAATCTATTCTTGCTATGTTCTCAAAAATCAGGTGGGATATACTCAAGGTTGTATTTTGACCCTTATAGACTTGTTTCCATTGTCTTTAACCTCAACTTGAACTTGCATATGAGCAATTGACGGTCCATTCCACAGACAATTTGACTGCTTATATGAAGCTTCTCCATGGTCTCTTCCCACAGATATAGTCGATCTTGACCTGTGTAGTCCATCTGGTGAGGTCCTTGTGTACAGTGCCGTTTATGTTATTAGAAAAAAGTATTTGTGAGAAGGGAGTTGTTGGTCTTGCAAAATTCTACCGTGAAATCTACAGTTTAATTTCCATCACCAAGGTCATATTTTCCAACTATTGCTTCTTCCTCCTTGTTTCCAATTTTTGCCTTCCAATAGCCAATAATTATCAATGCATAATGAATTCATATTTGGCCAGTTTCAGATGGGAATTTGGCAGAATTCTTTTTTTAATTTTTTTTAAAACATTTTATTAGGGGCTCATACAACTGTTATCGCAATCCATACACACATCAATTGTGTAAAGCGCATTTGTACATCA